ATTCCAAAAAAAAAATACTGGGGAATTGAACCCTAGTACATAGCCGATACAGCGAACCTCGCTATAGGGTGTCAAAATAAATTTGGCAAAAGCCATCCTAAGCTAAGGCTATATCACCTAAGTCTTTTTGTCATATAGGATCGAAGACCTGTGTTTTCTTTCATCCCCTACCCGATTAATATATCCCCACCATAACCCCAAGACTAGGAACTGAGTCCATCAAGGACGTATTTGAAGGATCAGCGAGGTACAATCGTAAAAGCCAGGCAGCTCGGAGGAGCGTGTTCGCCGAGGGTATCACAGACCCAACCTCGAATTCCGAAGGTACATTATCTTCTTCAGGTCCGAACTTGCCGGCATCCATACGGCTATGTAAATGCACCTCATATCCCCAACATTTTATTATCGACAAGCCATAGTTTGACGTCAAGCAACTCTGCAGCTTACGCCAACAGTTAACAAACTCTATGCGTGCTTATCTCAGCCCTTACGCGGACCTGAAAGTTGCCTTAGTCTACAGAGAGGTACACAAAGGTCAACAAAGTGATGGTCTATGGGTCCCTCGGTGGCCCCCTCTCGATTCGCACCGGATTGATCCTATTTTGGTATTCTAAGTTGCGTTGAAGCTCAAATGTTTCTGTTCGTTGAATTCATCCATGCCATATTACTCCATACAGTGCCACCGACTAGCCCAGCCAGTCGGTTTGTGAGCTTTTACCTTAACTTAATCAAGCACCAGCCGCAAAAACCAGCCCCCTTTTGATTTGATCCACGCTCAAGAATGGAGTACGTACCCGTATCTGGCGATTCCGACTCTTCTTGCATCATCAATAGCAAAACCTCCTCCAGCCACGATCGTCAAGTCGCGTCATGGGGGTTTGAATTGCTCATGCCTTCATTGACCTTAGCCAATGCATCAATGCGTCAACCGCGTCCGGGAATCAAGGACCGGATCAAAACGAACGGGCCGCCCCCTTTATTTCCCCCTTCTCCATGCATTCAAAGTCCCTTGCGGTTGTTGGTTGCATCGCGTTTCTTTTTACTAAGTTGTCGTAGTTGGAGGATAAGGGTTGAACCTCAGAGCCACCGAGTGGTCCATGCCTCTTTTCTTAGTACAGGATACGGGTCATGATGCGAGCTGTGCACGAACTGTCAGTTTATGGCATTGACCTTGTCTCACTTGACTCGACTTACCACTAAGAGCCTCAAGGCTGTCGTAGATGTCCTTGATCTGCTCATACTTGATACTGCTAATATCAGCCATGAGGTAGGCGTTGTCGCCTCTGCTGTCGGAAATCTGCTTGTCGACGTTGTGGTCGCCGAGAATCTCGTTGACCTTTCGGAGCACACCAGGAACGTTTCGGTGAATGAAGATGACCTATGATTTCGGGTTAATATTGTGCATGTCAAATTCGGGTTTCGGCATAGACTTACACGAGCGGTATCGGGCTCGTCGGAAGTCAGCGAACGGAGCTGGACTTCGGGGATGTTGACACTGCCCAGAGTGATGCCCTGGTTGATGTAGCGAACGAGAGCCTCGCTGACTGTGTAAGTGTTAGTATGGAGTCCAATGTGATATTCTAGGTGTGCACTTACCCTCGATACCAATGGCACGCTGAGCCTCCTCGGTGCTACCACCGATGTGAGGTGTCAGGATAAGGTTCCTCAAGCTTCGGAGGTCCTCGCCCCAGGCATTGAGGTCGTTGGTGAAGTAGTCACCGTTGGCAGCGGGCTCAGAGGGGAAGACATCAAGAGCAGCACCAGCAACCTTGCCAGCACGGCTAGCCTTGATGAGAGCGGGAATATCGACAACGCTACCACGGCTGGCGTTGATCAGGTAGGCACCAGTCTTCATCTGCTCGAACTGGGGAGTAGAGATCATGTTGCGTGTCTCGGGGAGATCAGGGACGTGGAGGGTGACAAAGTCAGCCTCACCCAAGAGCTTCTCAAGTGTAGGAACCTGGTTGGCAGTTCCCAGAGCCATCAGGGTAACAACATCGTAGTAGATGACGTTCATGCCCATAGCCTCAGCGAGGACGGACAGCTGAGAACCAATGTGACCGTAGCCAACGATACCCAGAGTCTTGCCTCGAATCTCCCAGCACTTGGAGCTGACCTTGTTCCAGGTGCCTCGGTGCATCTCGTTGGATCGGTCGCCAAGCTGGCGGGCAAGAACGATGATCTCGGCGATGACCAGCTCAGCGACACTGCGCGAGTTGGCGAAAGGGGAGTTGAAGACGGCGATACCATTCTTGGCGGCGAACTCAAGGTCGACCTGGTTGGTGCCGATACAGAAGCAGCCGATGACAAGGAGGTTCTCGGCCTGTCGGAGGACCTTCTCGGTGAGCTTTGTCTTGGAGCGAATACCGATGACTTGAACGTCACTGTGATCACCATTTGTTAGTATTCATGGTGGGGTGCATGGAGCTCATGGACGAGGGGCATTTGTGAAGCCATCGATGGAGGGGCACAGCACAACTTCACAAAAAAAAAGTTGAGGGATGGCGGGGTATTTTTGCGAACTCACCGAATCTTCTCAATGAGCTGGTCCTCGGGAAGAGAGGTCTTGAGGGCTTCGACCTGGTAGCCCTGGGCCTTCAAGATCTCCTGGCCGGTGACATTGACGTTCTCGAGAAGTAGAATCTTGATATCCTTGGTGTTGAAAGGCTTCAAGTTCTTGGGCGCGCCACGGTTAGGGAGGTTGGCGGTCCAGCTGGGAGGAGACTGGAAAGAAGCCAGCGGCGAGGTAGCCACGTTCTTATCCCAGCTGTGAGAGACCTCGCCGCGCTGGGCAGCGGCAGAGAGGTTGCTGGCGATGTTTTGGGGAGCAGGGGCCATGATGAAATGTGTCGACGGTCGCGGACGGTGTGGTGTTGTTGGAGAAGGGTGGAGGGGTCGTAAAATAACAGGGAGTTGAGATTCGGAGGGAGGAATTGGAGAGCTACCGTAAGTAAGGTCGTTTAATTGGGAACAGAGGAGGTATCAAAGTATTGCCCGCTGTCTAACAAAGGATGGGATTATGGTACGTTGAGAATTTTAAGAATACTAGGAAGAGACTCGGACGATCAGGAGGGGAGTCAATTGGTTTTATGATGCCACCAAAATCTACCTACGTATAAGCTGGGCTATGATGAGATGACTCCAGTCTAGCCAGCGCTGACAATTCAGGTCGCGACGGGCCGGATGCAGCACCAGAATTCAGGCAAATAAATGTCTACCGACTTCCGCAAACTGACTCATCCTGGGTATTGATGCCTTCACTGCCGAATCAAAGGGCATTTACAAGTAAATAGAGCATTCGCTCGGGGTACCCTTGCGGCTCTTAGTCGCATTTACACTACATACATGAACGTGGGAGTGGAACATTGCGGACGTGACAGCTTTGGCATAGGAAAACTTTTTACGTACATTAGTCCGCTGTCGGCCACGAAAGAGCTCGCTCAGTTCGTTGGACCATTTATAGCAAAGAAAGCGAGGTACAAGCCGAATATACCCTTCGGCGTTTTGGGCTACCTCGCCGCTAACAATACACTCAGCCCTGGACAGGACCACTTAAAAAAAATATGCTGTCTGTTGCTCACTTTGGCCCTTGACCGAGACCGGAAATGCCACCATGCCGTCACGCAATGGCGTCAATCTCTGCATCTTCCGGCGCCCGGTTGCTAGGGATAGGTACAGCAGTACGTTACCGCTTCTAGCAGTCCCGCTGGCGGAGGTGGTTCTATTCGGTGTGCGGCGTAGTCGGAGGATATGCAGGCCGGCGCGGGATGCAGCGGAGCTGAGCGGCGGGTAGACAGACGGACGTCCGTTTATTGGTTTCATCCGTCCATTCAACTGTTGGCATTTCATCTTCTGTCAGTGCATTTCAAAGTCAGTTAACGTGCTGAGATGTTTCATCATAATTGGTCCCGGGTGCGATTCAGTTGAAGGGTTATCGGTCAGCTATTGGATAAAGCACCTTGGTCCAATTATACCCTACCCTATACGATGCCAGTAAAGTGTTACTTCAATGATATTCCAGTTTAGATCTTTCAAAATCTAGATATGAATTAGGTAGTTAAAACAATGATAGTATTTTACTATGATATTCAAGAAGCTCTGTGCTTTGCAAGACACGCGATTGGAGTCCTGTGGGAGTCTGTAGGCTACGAGCACTAATACGAACAACGGTGAGTGTAGGATATATCATAATCAACACAGCATATGTAAACAACATGACTCGCCATCCCGTGACGTACATGCACGTCCCCCGGGTCACAACTGAGACATTGTCGTCGTGGCGTCGGCTCCAAACATGTCTTGCATTTTTGTGGTGGTAATAACGATCTCACCGCATTTCGATAGACGCGAGTATGCAGCCACTACGTCAAAACACAGTAAACAAAGACCAAGAGAGAGAAACAAAAGTACACAGACAAAGCTGGTATATTACTGCAACAACATACAACTTATTGCATCATGGCAAAATCATTCTCTATATATTATGCACCTGGTAAACCCTTGCACCCTTCCCTGTAAGAACCATTCCTTCTGTCACTACCTTACATCCATGCCAGGAACGAAAATCAGCGTTATTTGCAAAAGGCAAGTAAAACACAAGACAGAAAACCCCTGATAACGAAGTAAGAGAAAAAGGCTGCAAAAAAGAGGAGGGCAACATAATAATCGCGCGGGGCCGACTTGTGCCCTCTGGCTGTGTGTCTGTCTATCAACGTGGTTTCCAGTCCCAGAGTTTGCTCGCAAAAACCGTAGGTTTTTTTTCTTGCAAACGATGCCTATCAAATGACGATGCTACCTTTTTTGTTCTGAAAAACGGCACCGGCTGGATCGCCGACCTGTTTCAACCGCTTCCCATTTCTGTAGCCTTTTTCTTCCCGTCGTTCACCGCCCACCCTTTTTCTTCCGAGTAGGTCGGTGACTTAGATGAAATCCTTAAACCCGATAAAAGCCAATCATGTCATGAGTGAGAATATGCGTTACGTCGCGCTCTATCGCGCCGCTCAGCTCTGTTTGCACTCAGCAGCCTCCTGCTTAGGCTTGCCAGACTCATCCTGCACATAAAAGTTAGTTTAGTCCAAAGAATCAACAGGGTTTGCTGTGAGTTAACATACGTCGTCGTCAGACTCCTCCTCGTCATCGTTCTCTTCGCTCAGGTCATCCTCGTCCTCATCATCATCGTCGTCGAAATCGGCACCATCAAGCTCATCGTCCGAGATCTCCTCGAAAGCCAGAGCCTCACCGGTGAACCAGTCGATGGCGCGGGGAATGAGCTTCTCCTTGATGTCCTCACCGAGCTGGTAGTCGAGCTCGAGGCGCTCCTCGATGTCGGACTCGGCATCCTCGTCATCGTCATCGGTGGGAGCCTTGGGTGGCGAGAAGAAGTTGAAGAATGACTCGGTAGGAACGGTCTTCTTGACAATTCGGGTCTGCTTTGTGTCTGGAGTTGGGTTAGTCGCCAGGTTCAAAGAACAAAGGGGGCCACCCCCCGAAATTGTCGCTTACTCTTGTTTCGCTGCTTCTTGCTCTCGACTCGGACAGTCAAGTCCTTGCCAGGCAACCACTCAATCTTGTCACCCTCAGCGTGGTCGTAGATGAAGTCACCGCCGTAGCCACTCTCGTTCTGGTAATAGTATGTCTTGGTAATGGTGGTGTTCTTGAAGAACTCGTTGGGGGCAAACTCGAAGATGAGACGGAAACCAGGCTTGTCAAGGTACTCCATGCGGATGTCGGTGAGGTGCTTGAGGGCAGCCTCATCGCGGTCAGTGATCATCTCAGCGAGAGAGATCTGGTTCTTCATGGCGGAGAGCCAGAACTCGGGGATACCGGAAACGTTGTCGGGGACATCGGACTTCTGCTCAGACTTGGCAGCATCCTCAGTCTCGGGCTCATCGTCCTCCTCACCGGCCTTGATCTCCTCCTCAGTAGGCTCAGTCTTTCCGTTGATAATGGCGGAACGCTTCTCGTAGAGAGGAGAGAACTTGGCGAAGTACTTCTTCTCCAGCTGGAGAACCTCTTCTTGGAACTCAGCCTCGAGCTTGGAGTGATCCTTCTGGATGCCCTTAAGACCAGCGACACGTCGGCGGACGGGAGCGGGCAGGGACTCGATGTAGCCCGAAGATTGGCCCACGAGGGAGCCGAGGCGACCCTGAATCATCTGGATAAGCTTGGGGTTTTGGGCGAAAACTGAAGCCGCGGCGGCACGGTCCAGATCCTCTACAGCGGGGTTAGACCGTCATCTCGAAGTTGAAGGGATTGGTTCACGACAAGTCATGAAAAACCAAAAAGAGATACTCACCCTCCTTGATACTAGCAACACCCGGCTGTTGAGCGTGGGAAGAGATGGGAGCAGCAGTTGCGGGTGTGTTTTGAGGCGTACTGGTCGAAGGTGGGGTAGTTAGCATCGTGGATCGTGAAGCGGCGGGCAAGCAAAGAAACAAACAATCCGAGGCAGAAGATTGATATTGCAAGGGAAAGAAGGAAATAACTTACGGAGCCACGGCGTCCTGAGCACGCTTTCCACGAATGGGCTCGGCCATTTTGTCTGATAATGAAAGATCCGAATAGGCGCTTGTGATAAACGTCTTTTGGGGACGAGGTGAGGTTGAGAGGAGAGGGATGAAAGGAAGTTGAGAAAGCAGCGGCCGTTGACGTTTGCTAAATTCTGGTGGGGGGCGATAAGTTGAAAAAAATTTGGGCACTGGGCTTGTACCTACAAAACAGAACGAGCGAGCGAGACGGGAGTCAGAGAGACGGAAGAAGAGAGGGCGGTAGGTAAAGGTAGACTAGTAGTACTATGGAGGTTCCCCTCTGTCGGTCCAGTCTCCTCTCTCACTTTTCGAACTTGTTGGGCCGCCCACCAAGCACCAAGCTCAACTGGTCGATCGCCTAACTAAAAAAAAAATTACCTGCCCAGCCCAGCCAAACTGCAATGGGCCCCCCTCTCTCCTCTGGGCAGGCTCTAGGTACCTAACAGCTTTGAGTGTGGAGGCGCTGTGAGAGAGCGGAGAAGTGAGACAACAGAAACCCAAGGGAGCCGGGGAGTGGAGGAGACCTACATACAGCCACAGTAACACAGTGCATGTCTGAACGTGTTCACACCCGCGAGGCCACACAAATACAATCTGCATGTACCTCTAGACTTTGACTTTGTTTCCATTCTGTGGCGTCGCACAGGGATTGGATGCGTGATTCTCTCCGACTCATCCATTCGCAGTACAAGGGAAGCACTCGCCACAATCTAGACGGATTCCAGAACACAACACTCTCTGATCCCATGTCCGTCAAAGTAACCCTTCCCCTTCAGTCACCGGCCCTTCTTCTTTCAGTCACATAGGTTCTGGAATGGTGGCGCCCCCAAATGCTCAAACCAGGAACAACGACGACATATCGGCGACATGCTGCCCCTGAGAGAGAAAGAAGAGGCTGAATGACTGTTGTGCCTTTGGCTTCTTTTGTTGACTAGATACACCCGGCCTCGCCCGAAGGGGAACACTCGGGTTTGATAGTTCGTGGCATGGCATGGCTCGAACATTTATAGCAAGGTACATAATCTCGGGGAACCGCTTCAAAGTTACATGTTACATCGAAGAGCATGAATCAAGCGAGGCCAACCCTACAACATCTACTGATAATAGTTCGCTTGTTGGACACGTAGGTACCCAACCATCAAAAAGCAAAGGGCCACGGATGGATCCGAAAGAGTCCTGACCAAGAACATACATACCCCTTTGGTTCGGGTAGAAGGGTTGAAGCACAAGCATATCCAACAACTCAACTGATCGTATCTCTCTGCCTACATACGCGTGATAGAACGTGGCTCGCACGCACTGTGGTGGGCCCTGCACGATTGGCTGCAGCTTTGGTGAATCTCCGATACCAACAAGTCGAGGGATGCGTCACGAATCGCGCGCGCCCTTGTATCGTGAAGGAGGAGCGGGCTGTCCATGCAGCATCCTATTCGCCCACCACTTCTTTGTCTGTTGACAAAAGATAAATAAAAAAAGCGGTCGTCAAAGTGGTCAAACAAAGAAGCGGATGGTATTCACAGCTAGATGCTATAGGTGGACAGCAACCCCAGACCCAGCCAAATTCTTTGCCGAGGAACCTTGCTCATAAAGCACCACAATCAGGAAACAATTTGACGTGGCCCTCGAGTCAGCATGTTGGCCAATCCTGTAGCTATCCTACGAACACTCTAGGCCAGTAGATAACTAGATAACTGGATGTCATCACTAAACTCTCAGAGTTATTGACATTGTGGCCTGAACCGTCTCTGTTTTCAGCCTTGCCTTTTGTACTAGAAACAGACCAATGATGCATGGCGGGGCCAGTTCGGCATATCGGTATGACTCTCCGGGTCAGCCTTGGGGTCAGGGCACGAGCGCTGAGCCAACGACGTAATCGGGCGCGCGACCTGCAACTTACACGCAAAATTCTTATCTCAACTTTGAGGGTTTGTTTGTGTATCATGCGAACCAATTTACCTTGAACGAATTGATGGATGAAGACGCTCCTCTTAGCCCTGAGCCGGGCCAAGATCATGGCCATCGCCGCCATCGCGCATCCAATGCCAATGCCAATGGCAACGGTCGCACTGGACTCTATCGAATGAGCTCTAACCAGAGCAGGTCGAGCATCTTTGAAGATGTTGAGATGGCGCATGAGGAGGTAAACAGAAAATACTTGAGCCATTGCCATTGTATGATCGTAAATACTAACGACCTATCCTTATCAGCTTTTCTCTGGTCCTGTTGCCGAAAGTCTTCCCACCAGTGTATCAGCATTTTCCCATCGACGACCTCGTGCCGATTCGACTGCCAGCTTCGCCTATTACGATGACGACAACGAAGGATTTCCCGATGATGATGACGCCGAGAGTGTAGCTGTGCAGAGTATTGCTGGCGATTACATTCGGCGCAGCGTTTCAGATATCGCAGACTTGGAATTCGGTGTTGATGGTAACGAGGAATATGATGAATCCCCAGAGCGAGACTATCGCATTTCAGAAGACAATTATGCTCTGCGCAGACACTCATCTGCATACTCTCGCCATTCGGTCAACGCCCATCTCTTGCGACGAGATAGTACAGCCACTGCCGGAAGCTTTCGACGCCATGGGCGTGTCAGTCAAAAAGTTTATCTAGAAAACGAGGATCTCACAATCGTCATCGCCGGTTTCAAGACAAGCAAGACCGGCTCTGCGATCTATATCTCTTTGTGCATCCTTACCTGCGGTCTCGCTTATCTCCTCTTCCGATGGTTGCCCCGGTGGTACGTTGGTCTGCTTGGACAAGCAACTTCGCTTGGCGAGTGCGAATGGGTCGTGATAGAGAACCAATGGGGTGAACTTGTCACTATGGATGTTCGATCTCAGATCTACGGCCGACCTTTGTCAACAGTCTTTGGCCTGCCAGAGAAATTCTACTCCGATGCATTGGACGAGGATGTTGACCCTATCATTGACGACCTCCGAACACTGGATTACCGCTACATTCGACTGTGCTTCCACCCTCTTAAAGACAAGTTTATGCTCTTCAATGGTTGGAAAGACCCCAACTGGACCGATGTGCGACTGACCCGTGCTGGTCTGGACACTGATGAAAGGGGAGTCCGTGAAGTTGTCTTTGGCAGCAACCTCATCGATATCGAGCAGAAGACGACTGGACAGCTTCTGGTGGACGAAGTTTTGCACCCTTTTTACGTATTTCAGATCGCCAGTCTTATCCTATGGTCCATGGACAGCTACTACTATTATGCAATTGCTATCTTCCTCATGTCGGTTGGTAGTATTGCTGCCACCCTCATTGAGACTCGAGCTACCATGAAGCGTCTCCGCGAGATCTCGCGATTCGAATGTGATGTGCGAGTTCTGCGAAACGGTTTCTGGCGATTTATCAGTTCAAGTGAACTGGTCCCTGGAGATGTCTACGAATTGAGCGATCCCAGTTTGACACAGTTTCCCAGTGACAGTCTCTTGCTCACCGGTGACTGTATCGTCAATGAAAGCATGTTGACTGGCGAGTCTGTTCCCGTTTCGAAGTTGCCAGCCACCGACGAGACTTTGCGCACGATGGATCTGGGAGCGTCCTCAGTTACCCCTGAAACAGCCAGACACTTCCTGTTTTGTGGTACCAAAATCATCCGCGCCAGAAGGCCTCAGGAAGACCAAGGGGACGACGCCGTTGCGCTCGCCCTCGTTGTCCGGACTGGTTTCAACACTACAAAAGGTGCCCTGGTACGATCGATGCTGTTCCCTAAACCCTCAGGTTTCAAGTTCTACCGCGATTCATTCCGGTACATCAGTGTCATGGCTATTGTTGCTGCTATCGGATTCTTGGCTTCCTTGGTCAACTTTATCAGACTTGGTCTTGCATGGCATCTCATTATTGTGCGAGCGCTCGATCTCATCACAATTGTCGTGCCTCCTGCCCTGCCTGCCACTCTGACGATCGGTACCAACTTTGCTCTTAGTCGACTGAAGAAGAAGCAGATCTTCTGTATCAGTCCTCAGCGAGTGAATGTTGGTGGAAAGATCGACATCATGTGCTTCGACAAGACGGGAACGTTAACGGAAGAAGGACTTGATGTTTTGGGTGTTCGGGTCGTTGATCGTAACTCAAAGAAATTCAGCGAGATTGTAACCGAGCCTCAGATGCTTTTGGCTGAGGCAACACGACAGAACGCCCAGGATACCTATCGCGCCGCATTGCACACAATGGCCACCTGTCACTCTCTGCGGTCCGTTGATGATGAACTAGTCGGAGATCCACTGGATCTCAAGATGTTTGAGTTCACACGCTGGACATACGAAGAAGGAAAGCAGAATGCTTCCGAGGAAGATGAGGAGCAAGGTGGACTGGCGCCCTCTATTGCACGACCTCCTAACGTATGGCTCCTGAGCTGACCGTGGGAAACTGATCACTGACATTCTCATAGGGCAACATCGAGCTCGGAGTACAGAAGTCTTTTGAATTCGTTTCAAATCTGCGACGTGCCAGTGTCATTGTTCGACCATTCGGTCAGAAGAGTGGTGACATCTTTGTCAAGGGAGCCCCCGAAGCAATGAAGGAGATCTGTCGCCCTGAAAGCTGTATGTTTCCTAACAGCATTGAGAGGTTCGAACTGGCTAACTTCCCACAGTTCCCGATGATTACGACGAGCTTCTGTCTTGGTATACCCACAAAGGTTACCGTGTCATCGGTGTCGCCAGCCGGCATCTCAAGAAGCTCAGCTGGGTTAAGGCTCAGAAGATGAGTCGAACTGAAGTTGAGAGTGATCTCGACTTTGTTGGTTTCATTGTGTTCGAGAACAAGCTTAAGCCCACAACAGCCGCAGTTCTGGAGGAGCTTCTGGCGTCCAATATTGGCGCAGTCATGGTAACTGGTGACAACATCTTGACGGCCATTAGCGTGGCCCGAGAGTGTGGTCTTATGGACCGAAAGGCTCATTGCTTCGTGCCACGCTTCATTGAGGGTATGTTTCGGATTTATCAGCTTGTGAAAGTATTCTAACCCGACCAGGTGATTTCCGTGATGCGGAGGCCAAGATTCAATGGGAAAGTATCGACAACAACCTCTATCACTTGAATGAAAAGACTTTACTTGTAAGTTCTTGTTGCACCTATGACCATAAGGAATCACGACTAACACCTGCAGCCCTTACCCCCTCCCCCAGAGGCGGATGCTTCACTGCCCTTTGAGATCACCAGCCTTCGTAACTATACTTTGGCTGTCAGTGGTGATGTGTTCCGATGGATGGTTGACTTTGCGTCGCCACAAGCACTTCAACGGGTTAGTAAATCATTTTACATCCCCTGTTGTACATGCTAACAAGCCTCTAGATGCTTATCAATGGTAAAGTGTTTGCCAGAATGTCACCTGATGAGAAGCATGAGTTGGTCGAGAAGCTGCAGAGCATTGATTACACATGTGGCTTCTGTGGTGACGGAGCAAACGACTGTGGTGCTTTGAAGGCCGCAGATGTTGGTATCTCTTTATCTGAGGCAGAAGCTTCTGTGGCAGCTCCCTTTACTTCTCGTGTGTTTGACATTCGCTGTGTATTGGAAGTTATCAAGTAAGTCGAGAGAAGCAAATTGGTTGAAGTAGTCTAACAATCCTTTAGGGAGGGTCGAGCCGCTCTGGTCACAAGCTTCAGTTGCTTCAAGTACATGAGTTTGTACTCGGCAATTCAGTTCACATCAGTCACATTTCTTTATGCCAGGGCTTCCAATCTGGGAGACTTCCAGTTCCTCTTTATTGATCTCGCCCTTATTCTTCCGATCGCTATCTTCATGGGATGGGCGGGGCCTGCTCCAAGACTTTGCCGCAAGCGACCTACTGCGGACTTGGTCTCACGAAAGGTTCTCACGCCTTTGTTGGGATTCATGCTTATTTGCATCTTCTTCCAAGCTGTGACGTATGTCACTGTCAAGGAGCAGCCCTGGTATATTCCTCCCGTGGTGCACAAGGATGAGCCTAGCATTGAGAACTCGCAAAATACGGCACTCTTCCTGTTCTCTTGCTTTGAGTATATCCTTTCGGGAGTCATTCTTAATGCTGGACGCCCATTCCGACAGCGAACCACACAAAACTGTAAGTCTTCTCATTCACCACTTTCATAGTCAGTGCTGACCATGTTTTAGGGCCATTTGCCATAACCATCTCCATCGCCCTCTTGATAACTGTTTACATGATCCTGACTCCTGCTCAATGGGTCATCGACCTGATGCAGTTGACAGACATGAGCTGGGACTATGAACTGTTCCTGATTGGATTGGGTGCTGCGTACTTTATCGTGGCCTGGGCTTTTGAGCACTTCCTTGCCCTGAGACTGGCTCGATTGATAGGCTCAATCAAGCAGTCAGTGACCGGAAAGGCCAAGAAGCGCAAAGAGTATAAGGTGATTGCGGAAGCATCTCGGATTTAAGCTGGAGTAAAACAAGCAAGTTGCATAGCTATTGGATGAGAGCAGACTTATGTTTGTGAGTATTGATTGGAGCTGTTATAGAGTATTAAGAGCGAAGGAAGCGTGAAACTGCTAGTCTCATTAGGGAGCTCAAAATACAAGAGGCTTGGTTGAATAAAAGACCAATGCCTGAACTTTTATGGACATGTTTGCCGAACCAATTCTTCGCTGTGAATAGTAATGATCTGAAGGTCTCATTAATGCGCATTGTGCCACTAGGGGCAATTTCCCCAGAAAACACAAGAGTTCTTGATAAGTTCGATTTCGGAATTTCCATCAATGGGGAATGTAATTGATGATAGGGACCATGATATATCGGCACTCGGAATATCATGCGCATCACTTCGGAAATATCATTTGATCTTTTTCTTCAATTCAAGAGCCTTTTCTGCCCTATATACACTGCATTGAATCGCCTTGTCCTCTGATATCGACGCCCAATACCTTCTTTGTTGTAATTGTCGCAGGAATAGAAGTAATCACAGATGGTAGTCGTTTAGTGGTCCCAAGGGTGCTTGAGGCCGAGGAGAACAGCACCTGAAGCATGTTAACCAATGATTCTTGAACCAATAACTCGCAAGTAAGTGAATGTTTGATGCATACCATCCTTCTTTGCCCGGTACATAAGCTGTTTTGGTTGATTAGCAATCCATTCGTCTAATCGTTGCGACCTTCACTTTGATGCTCCAATCCATGGTTCAAAGTCGCAAGGTTCCAGGGTGACTCACGAAGAACCACATGCCAGCGCCTAGAGCTGTCGCGGTGAATCGGTAGATACGGGGAACATGAGCCACGGGGGGCTTGGGAGGGCCGTTGAAGCTGTGGTGACCGTGACCAGCCATGATGAAATCGGATGTGATAGTCGCTCGTTTCGGGGTTCTGGACTACATAGATCGGAAGCGTTAGCGGCAATTAAACTTGACCGAGATATTGAGACGAGTGATATAGCGCGATTGACGTACGTAGAGACCGAATTGGGAGCCGTGAACAAGGCGACGAGGAGAGTGATGATACGGCAATGGCCAGTCGTGATGGAGTCGTTGAACCGGGCCAATTTGGCGATGGCTCTGCTTAGGTAAGGGAAGCTTGTGATTGGGTGAGCCCGCTATGAAATGTCTTACGGTTTAGTGCATGCGCATGCTAATAGTGGATGGAGCGCTGTATAAGAGCCCGTCTTGCGTGCATCATCATGAGTGGGGTTCCGCCCACTCTAGTTCCGGCAATCATAGCGACGAGACGAGGCAAGCAGCGCAGCACATCCCATAAGATACCACCTTGCGTTTTGCGTTTTACAAGAGCTTCGTTGACTTCGTACCTAGACTAAGCTTACGTCCTTTTTCTCTGACTGGAGCCGTTATTGATACTCGAATTTTATCGTTACTTTCAAGCTGAAACCCGTATTATTTTGAACTTCCACGTTGTCCTTCGCAAGCTCGATAGCTGGCTTCTCTAAACGGGCTCCCCATGTTCGCCAAGCAATGACCGTCTAAAGCAACCATCCAACGACATATACATATACATATTATCTTTCAAGGGAGGTTCCATTTCCGTGACACGAAACTCGCAAGCGAACGCTGCAAACATCTTCGCCATGACGACTCCAAAGTTCAGCTCGAAATCGCCTACGATTAGACGAATACGTAAGTGGCCAGCTCCAAAACATTCAACCCATATACTAGAGCATCATCACCTCGAGTTATCGACCCCATTACTAACCTGGGCAATAGTTCGTGAAGCAGCCGAAATCTCCAACTCACCTTCTGCCGATTACACAGCCGAGCCCCTCGAATCCGACCTGTTCGAGTGGCACTTCACACTCAAGGGGCCACCCAACTCAGTCTACAGTAACGGCATCTACCATGGTCGCATAGTTCTTCCACCCACATACCCTCTTCGGCCGCCTTCTTTCCGCTTCATGACACCAAGTGGTAGATTCGAAGCCAATCGTGAGATCTGCTTGAGTATCAGTGGCCATCATGAGGAAACGTGGCAACCTGCATGGGGAGTACGGACAGCTCTTGTAGCGTATGTTCTCCTGCTATTTTTGAAGGGACTACATTAGCTGACATTTCGTCTTGTATAGGCTCCGGAGTTTTATGGAGACGGATGCTCGTGGCCAGCTTGGAGGTCTTGAAACCACTGACGCAGTGCGCCAACGTCTTGCCAACGAATCACCGGCATTCAAATGCGCAACATGCGGGAAGACAAACGGCGAGATCATCAAGGAATGCGAAGAGCGAGCAAAGGAAGCATCATCAAGCGCACAGGAAGTCGAGATCCCCAAAGAGTTGAACATGGGATGGCGAGATGAGATGGGAGCCAAGAAGGAGGGCGAGAGCAAACCCGAACAGACAAACGACGACGCCGAGACCGCTCAGCTTGCAGAGGGATTTGTTCAGACCGCACCAGAGGCTGTCACATCTGCCAACGATTCTTCGGCCCCTCAACCACCAGCAGAGAACCGAAACCCCACTCCGACCCGAACTACACCCCTCCCCGTTCCGGCGGCTCAAGGACTTGTACCACAGGCAGCGGCACATGCCCAAGCGCAGCAAGCTCGGAGAGCAACGGATGACGGTGTTCCTCTGTGGCTTGATCGAACCATTGTTGTTCTGGTGGTGCTTTTGGTGGCTCTCGTTCTCAAGATCATCTTTGCTGTGTGATTGCGTATTATCGGTTTTCATATGTTATTGTCGGCATGGCGTATGGTGTTTTCACATGGATCAGTCAGTTAGGGGGCGAATTAGATATCCGGTCAATTTGAGTCTGATGTGACTACCGTCTTGAACGTGAGATAAGACGTCTTGTACACTACTAATGGTACTCTAATATCTAGCCCCAGTGAACAAACGACTTTGGTCTACTCGATTGGTAAAGAGGCATGGGGGATTCTAGTCTTTTTGATGCGAGGAAGTCAAAAACTTGAATTTTTTCTCTCAGATAGGGGCTATGCCGTGGGCTCAGAAGTATCGGCATTCACGACAGGCCAGGCTCACCTGAAAGTTAATGTTCCTGGCGCCCCAATAACGAGGACTCGAAGGCGTTTGCATTGGATGCTTATGTGCGTAGGCTGAACCTTGTCTCAACCAAAATATAAAAGACACCAGATCCCCTACTGTTAAAGTCAAATATACCTGCGGACGCACTATTTTCTACGGTAACCTCCTATCCATCCCTATCATGTTTGGCCTGAACATAACCACTTCTATAGAATAATTCATCTATCGTACACATAATCAGAATGACCGACACTGACCCTGAAGCCCCCCGCTCCCATGACTCCCTCGATCCCTGGAAGCTGAAGATGGCCAACCGCGGGTATTACATCCAGTCCAAGATCTTACATGTCCCCGATCAATTCGGTTTCTTCTCTGCTGGTCGACCTTCGCTCCAGGTAAAGGATGCTGAGAGTTTCACCAGGCTATTGGCGTATTTATCTACCCTGGGCACCTTGGAAGCATTGATCCTTGCTTATTTATGGCGGAATGGCTCCTTTGAGTGGTTTATGGTATATGACCTTTTGACGATAAACTGCGAACTCATCGTGGGTGTCTGGATTGTAATATGTGTCGCCCACTACACCAAGCGTGGCCACGACAAGGGCCCCTGAACTGCGAACACTATGGCACAGAAGAAGGTCTGAGGCGATAATGCAGTGGAATGGTTGGTTGACGAGGTTCGTTACTTGAGGTATGAGAATAAGTGTTGCATTTGACCTGATCGATGGCGCAGTTGTGTTTGACACAGGAGTCCCTTGGGGCCGTCGAAGTTCAGCCTCAGACAGATTGTATGATCCAGTCTGCAGCAACTTCTCGTACATACGACCATACCTACCGGAAAATACGGGATCCCGTCCGCTCTCCCATAGTCAAGCTGGTAAGGGGCGGATTAGTAGTTGGGTCGGTGACGACCAGCGAATCCCCGCTGTTGTATGTTTTTGCCGTTTGCAGCAACTATGATTTTTCTTTTACTCTTGTAATCATGTAGTCTATCCTTAGAAGAGGTTGTAATGACCTCATCCTAAACTTATGATGAATTGATCCTAAGTTATGCTTAAATATCCTAAGTTTAGGATTTCTAGTCCAAGTCACCGAATCGCTATTAACTACTTCATCCGACAACCTTAAGGCCAGTATCAAGTCATATAAAACAACAAGATATCAGCCGGACGAGAAACACGTAAATGGACTACGGAAGGCCTCTATCTTGGTTCCTGAGGCTAATATATCAGATAACCTTTCTGTGCGTCTTTGCACTGGGTGGTCTCCCTTTATATGCTTGGCCATGCCTGATGCATCCTTGAAAGGAACATTGGCACTTGATGTTGTTGTCTGGGGATGGGGAACATCGAGTTTCAAAGGTCTTTCTCCCGTCTCGAATTTTGAACTCGATTACTTCTGCTTGGGGATTGTCTGCGAAGTGGATCGCTTTCGTCCTTGGATGGAGAGAAAGTGTATATGTTTGCGGCGGTGGTTGACTTGATTGTTTGACTCTGTTGAATGATATTGACTGATGGAGCCGTAGTCTAATACTCTCGCCCTGGAAGGACTGGCTTTCTTCGCTGGTCTTGGAACGGTGTGCTCGTCCTGTACAGCATCCTCTATGGATGGCCATACTGTTCCACTAGCTGTCTGCCAGTCTTTGACATGGCCAGGGTCCTCTCTTGCAGCGGTGCTCGCACACCTAATATTATAGTCCTCAAGAGAAGTTGGATCCAGAGTTCTGTATCAAAGGAACACAAACCACACCCTCTGAAGGAATGCTTCGGTAGCTTATATATCTTTCATCATGGTTTCACTGCTCCCCAGCTGCGGTTCAAACGACCTTCTGACATTCTACACGAGGATGGAGCTTCAGTCACCAAAACTCAGCTAAATCGATCACCTGAAAGGTATGTACTCACTGTCTCATAAGCATGATATTCATAGCCCCTACGGTTTTACGGGCCTTGTGAGGTAGGT